GAGTACCGTATCACCTCTTCCTCTCACATATTTCTAAAGATTGTGGCTGCTTTGTTATGAAGAGAAATTTATATTGGCAAAGGTCGCGCTAAGTTGAGGGCTGCGGGCACGTCAAGCTACTTTGCTTATTTCTGTAGCCCTCCTGCATGTAATGTATGTTAATTATGCATTCAATATATTTGTTTAAATTCGTTTATTATCTGTATAAAATTATATACACTTACAATTTTGTATCAAACCATATTATGTTCATGAAAATGTATGAAGAAAAAAGATGCAGAAACCAATAAATCAAATCAAATCAAATCAAAAAGTTACGTTTTTGCGTTACCAAACACCAAATTTTACGCACAAATTTTTCAAAACAGTGAGCTATTGCGTCTCGCAGGACGCAACATAAATTCCCATGTTGCTTTCCAGAAGCTGGAGAAGAATCATTTTCACATCGTATACTGATTACAATTTTAATGATTTACACATCTATCCAATCTGTCCGTATAGCGTAACAGTAACCAGCCATTTGTGACACTAATACACGATGTGCATGAGACTAATTTTTGTTCGGTATAATTTGCATATAATGTGCGCAAATTGATTGACAGTTCGTTTTCTGCACACCTGTATAACTGAATGTGTGTTTTTAGCTAGATTCTGGTGATAAGAGTGTGTAATTTTCTGAACGAATTGGCCTTTAAGGAACTAATTTTATGAATCCACAAGACCACAAACTACCGAATTCGTAAGCTTTGCCGACATGCTTGACGATGCCTCCGTGTTTTTACTTCTCTTATTTGCTATTTTTTGCTAAATTAGGTTCGCTAAATCGCACCTTTAGGTAAATGTGGTCTCGCAGTTAGCAGGAACAAATTTGAGGGTTTGGTTGGTACCCTCAATATTTGCTTGGGGGCCCCCATACTCGGTTTTTCTGCCCTTGTATATAAACCCTATATATATTACAAGTTTAACACTGTGATGGAGGACATTGCAACAACTAACCTTACGAGAAAAAAGGGGAAAAATGGAAGTTAAAGATACTATACCGTTGGTCATAATGGTGGAAAAATTATTTTTATCCCAATTTATGGAATGATTTTGACAACGATTTATTCCTATTGATCTAGATAATAGTATACATTTTCAGATTTTATTGAATAATAATTTGTGAGTGTTTGTTTTGCGGGACTGCTAAAGCATGTGCAGTCACGCAAAACAAACAAGGCTCAATTGTGAAACACACATGCCCTTAAAAATTCTGATGTTATATAAAATAATTATTAAATATTGTACTCATGAGCTTACTTTTATTCAATTTATAATGTGTAATATTTCGATTGTAGCACATTATTATTCACATGTTTATGCATCAGAATTGATAGCTTCTTTTTAAGAACATTATTTTTACCATTGTTATCTATCTATTTTTATTTGCATTTGCATTCCAGCCCCAAGTTTTGTTTGCAATAAAGAAATACTACTACTACTACTAATAATAAATTCTGGTCTATGTAGTCTACTGAGTTTTGTATGCTATTAAATCTATTATTGACTATTGTTTTGTTTTTCTAGGATACATCGTAGACCTGACATTAGTGACCAATCACCCCCTCCTGGATCCTCCCAACACACGTGATCAATATATCGGTGCTTACCTAGGACAGAAAGATGCAAGCATCAGAGACAGTATCACGTTTGGCCGCATTATCCGGACCGTTGATACTCCTGTTCTCCCAATATATAGCAACACAGTAAACGAAGGTCAACATATAAGAAAGCTTATCTTTGAACAGTCTAATCAAACCAAGGCATTAGGAGCATTCCGTGCAACTTTCGAATATGATGGAATCACACGTAGTACTTCAACTGTTGTCTTAATGCACAATGGTGAGTACAAAATATTTGTAAAATCGAAAGTCTTTAATACGTCGGTCACACCGCCGAACCGACCAGTTTGGGGCCTCTGGAGGTAATGTAACTTGTTTACCGAGTCTGAGGTCGGTCTTTTATCGGCCTCCTCGGTGTGACTGAAGAATAATGCTCGTACAATGCTTCAGTTTATTGGAATATATAACAGCGTGCACAGTCAACTGGGAGCCACCATTTTTCGGAAAATAGTGAAACTCAGGGACCAGATTATTGACCTGTGGACGTTGTCTAAAAATCTGATTTAGGAGATTCATAGAACTAGCTCAAGTCTAAAGGAAAACACATTCTTCAAAACTGAAAAATAATATTAAGATGATTTTAGAACTTTTAAAAACGGAATTAGGGTAAAAGCAATTTCATGTATAAACACCGTCATGTTTCTTGAATTTGTAAAGAAACAAAAATACTGTACGAGAACATTAAAGAAAAAAAATAAACGGCTAAAAAACACATTTAGTGTCACTAGAAACCATGTTCAAAATTGCACTTCTTGATCATTTATCCCTCATTACCTGACCTGATGAATTATAATAATATTATGGTCTTCCCTGTCTTCGGGTAGACTCGTCAATTTTAATAATGTTCTTTACGTGGGCCTTCAATATTTCTCTCCCTCTTCAGCGACCATTATAAGGCCCCCAAGCATTGAAGGATTTATTCCCACCGGGTACCTATTCATTTCAAGTGGGGGGAGTGGCAAATGTAGAGAAATGTATTACCAAAGTTAAGTATTGGCGTGACAGGTATTTGACTCCGTACCGTGTACTTCAGCAATTTTACTGCTAGACCAAGACACCTTCAATACAATAATTGTCCCAAAAAGTCGTCAAAATATGTACATAATTTTATAAGTCTATTCATACATCCAAATTGATACCCCGTTTTGACTTTTACATTTGATGATTTCTTTACTTCCAGTATTGAAAATCAAGCGTTTATGTGGTTATGTTTGGGAAAAAGAACCCCATTTATATGCTTAAAAGCCTGTACAGATCATATAGTCGATCAGCGACTTTAAAAGTAGCCTATACAATAAATCTATTGATTTTTCATTTTTTCATTTCATTTTTGATTTCATTCGTCATATAAAAAACATACATGATTAAAACATTGATATTTACAGATAAGTAAAATACCGTACAAATAACATAACGAAAGACAAACATAAAATACAAATATATATATACGAATGAAGAACCAGCAAGAAAGAGCATTTAAGTCTTATGTGGGGCTGGTCCCTAGCGACAATTTTAACCTATAACACTTAACACCTAACACATAACAACTAACATCTAACATCTAAAACCTGATTGCATATATAAAAACTAATAAAATACTAGTCACAAAAACGTAATTGTTTGTATCTTCTTTTAAATGTATTCAGAGTTGGGCTTGATTTAACGTTAAATTTCCCCCAAAACTGCTTCCACAGTTCATAATTATTTTCTCTGTATACTCTTATCATGCTCCAATTTACTTTACAGCGACAGCTTTGCCTCAACGGACAACTTTGACTGTCCATGCCGGGGAAACTGTTACAATCACAGTTGTCACCAACATGACGGAAGATGACCTCCGGTGGCGGTTTAATGGTGATACGGTACCTGACAGTAGTAGAAAGCAGAGCCTAACTTTGGGGAACGTGCAGCTTAACCAAACTGGGGTATATAAGTGTTTTGCTGGAAAACGATGGGATGCAGAAAATGCAATATTCCTTCTTCATGTCATCAGTAAGTTAGTAGCTTACATATCGTACATGTATCTTACAAGACTCTTATTCCGAAGCACCTTTCATTTCCAACATGGTCGTTGAACTTGCAACAAAAGTAATTATAATTCTACATGATTGCTGTCAGCGAAATATAAGTGAAATTAATCCGAAAGGTCCTAAAATTGTATTTACATGTATATTCTTTTGATTTCAGCGTATTTTCACGGTTTTCCCATACTAACATGGCATTTTTTTGTATAGATTCCTTTTCCTTAAAAAGAAAGAAAGAAGCAATAATATCAGCATATTGAAAATTAAATATTGACAATTTTTTAATTTTGGTATGTGTTCGAGGGGGGGGGGGGTTTAGATAGAAAGTTAGAATGCAGGTATGTCGATGCATATTGAGGTAGCGGTTATCTACTTCTGATATTGTTTATATGCTGGATTCTTATCCACTTTGAAATTCTAAAACTGTTTACTTCAAACAGGATGCCCAGCTTATCGTTGGGGATCTGAATGTGAACATACCTGTACCGAGTGTCTCAATGGAGGCAAGTGCGATGCAGACTCGGGAGAGTGTGTATGTGCTCCTGGTTTCAACGGGACAACATGTGAACACGGTAGGGTTTACACTTTTATAGGTCCTCTGCGCTTCGAGACACTGGCAAAGACATACTTATTAAACAAGGAGGGGGTTTGAGGCACACAAAATTAAAGAGTCGCATACTTACACACACACACACACACACGCTCACACTCCCACACACACACGAACGCACACGCACACACGCGCGCACGAACACACTTTTATTTCAGTTTTGTAGATGACTCTTTTTTCAAAGTGGATGAATTTGTTCCCCCCCCCCCCTAACTGACTACCCATATGTTTCAACAAAAAGCTTCCGAATAACAATGTCCATTTTATAATATTTTTTAGTTAAGGCTTTTTAAATATTTGTTTTTACATGTTCTAGATTAAGCTCAATATTTTTTTGATGAGAATAAATATAGTGATTTCATGTAAATTACATGCTTGAAATAAAGTTCAATCTGCAATACTCTATAATGTACGTATAGTGATACAATTAACAAAGCTTTCATTAATAACATTCAATCGATGAAACCCTGGTATAAGGAAACAGCATTGTTTCGTTGGCATTTTCGTACATTTTGATCGTTTAATATCTAAAAACTCTTTTCAATATAGTTATCACACGAATCAAAATCAACTTAACTCGATGTCGATACCGTATTACTAATATGTTGTGTAAGCTCGTTTGACACTCTATTATGAAGGCACTTGTTTCCTGATCCCTTTATTGTCATTTATCCTAAGTCCTGGGCAGTAACTGGTTCGGGCAGGATGGCAGCTTTTATTGTGATTTCTCAGGAGATGATCACAGTCCAGGGTGTCGGGGTAAACTCTTCTGCCTACCAGACCCCTTTGGATGCACCTGTGCTGCAGGATTCATGGGAATCAATTGTAAAACAGGTACCTTTTTTCATGTGAATCAAATTCTGGAATCATTCATGAGCGAATATTTTTACTACGAGAGACCTCCAAAATACATCATCTTGAAAGAAAAATGTATATAACATATTCGTTTATAAAAACGGATTGCTCATAAATTTACATGTTATTGTATATTTCAACAGTTCTTCACATGTCTATTCCGGCAGATAAATTTATTTCTCATGAAAGAGGTTTTTAATCTCCAACGCTTGACATATTTTATATTCTCTTGCGTAAGGTAACGAGAAAAGAGATGAAATAAAACAAATCAACCTTGACGCAGCTTTCATTATAAGCGCCAGCAAAAACTAAATACGAAAGACATAAGTGACGAAGAAGGCATATTTATATTTGTAGTAATGAATGGGTTAAACCATTTGATTCTCAAGACTGAAAGAAAGGTTGCTCCACGTGTGACCTTTCAACTCATATGATGAGAACAGGTATTCGTTTACATAGAAGTGCATTTCAAAGGTCAATTAGTCTTCTTGTCAAGTACATACTAAGGCGTTAAGAGGGACCTTGATTATGGCATTTCCTCACGATTTAATTTGGTCTGTCTTATATTTTGTGAAACCTTATCTTCAAATAAGCCTAGGTATATTTTGAATAGAGTATTCGAGAATAATTTATGAGTGCGTATAAAGAAACATGGTAACATGATAATACAATGAAGTAGAAACCTCTTTGAGGATGAAAGAGATTCCAATGGGATATACTCTGCCACTCAAAATATAAGTTTTGTTATCTTTTAACAAGTGGTGCTTGGGTTGAGGGTGAATATGTTTGTTTTTTCTTCATCATTTTTTGATCACGTAGATGAACACAATTAATAATATTCTTTTCCGAGGGACATTAATTCTTTCATCCGTGTTCAAAAAGACGCACACAAATAAACAAGCGAAACATTATTCCGTTTTTTAATAGTCATTTTTGTTCTACATGTATTTTATATTTGAGGTAGAGTTGGAAAACTATGGACTCTTTTCCGTATTAATCTATTTAAGTAATCATTAATGTGCAAGCACGTAGCCCTTAAGAAAGCAATACCGAATTCTTCTAGGAGCTACACAAATTTGTCCAACGTAAGGAATTTCCTAGCTAAATCAAGTTAGGGCAAAATATTGCACGAGTAAAACAACATGCATGTACAACAATTCTTCACTTTAAAACCCATGTACTATAAACTATAATAATTCCATTTAAATCGTTCGAAGCAGTTCCCCTTGGATCAAATATTGTTATATAGAGGATCAGGCGCGCACGCAGCGGGAGGGGGGTTTGAATCCCCCTCATTTTTTTTTCGTGTGATTTTTGATGAAAATCCCCCTCTATTTTTTTTAAATAAAATAAAAATTAAAAAAAAAAGGTTTTATTTTTGTGTATGCAATAGGGTGACCCCAAAAGTGACCTTACCCCCCCCCCGCCTCCTCATGAGTCGTTGCGAAATTTTTGGGACTAAACAAAAAAAAATGTGCTCTTACACCGCACCCCCCCCCCCCCCCTCCCCCCCCCCCCCCCCCCCCCCCCCGCTTATTCAGCGGCTGGCAGAGTCGTTGCGAAATTTTCGGCGCGATTTTCAAATTTTAACCCCCCCCTTCGAAAAAATCCTGCGTACGCGCCCGTAGAGGATGATCTACAAATACATATAGAAACCTCCTTATTGAATATGTCTGGGTTATTCATTCGACAGTGACTGGAATTTAACAGATGATTTAAAAATAAATGTAATCGAGCTTAATAGATTTATCATTAGATAGATCTATTTGAAAACAATAAATAGAAGTACTTATGCACCTATGGTCGGGAGCTAATTTAAGAAAAAAAACTGAAGTGGTAAAACCAAATCTACCAAACATTCAAAACGCACCCTTGATACCTCATTGACCCATTTATTTAGGATTTGTTTGAATTCATTCTCGAAATTTAATATCGAGCCATCAATTACATCTGTGGATTTTGGGTTCTTGGGGCTGCCCCTCAATGTGAAATATCAAAAAGCACATTAGGCCTACCTCATAATGGTGTTCCTTGTCTTTTATTACTTGATCAATCCCCATTATTTTTTTTAAAGAATGTAACCCAGGAACGTATGGAGCAAATTGTTTGCAAGAGTGCCATTGCTCTCCACGTAACATCTGTACCAAGGATACAGGAGAATGCATGGATGGGACTGCGTGTCAAGAAGGCTGGACTGGTGTCAATTGCCAAGGTGATTTTTTTTAAACAGTCAGTTTTCATAGAAAGGTTGTTTTTTATTTTTACTATACATTATTATCACAAAATAAACACATCACGATAAAAGAGCAGAAATCCATTTTGTCCTTCATTATTTATTGCGCTTGTCAAAGCAAGAGGCAAAAACACAACAAGAACCAGGGGGATTTTTTTTTGGATTAAACAGATTACTAGTTCAAGCTAATGCATGGGTAGATTTGTAGTTAATTATCATTTGACACGCATTCCCTGCTTTTGTCTATTATGCTGATTTGAACAATGGAATTCGTTCTCTAATCCATGCTGACTTTAGTTTTGTCATTGATATAAAACATGAACATAGTTTGGTCAAAGGTAACATATCATTATTAGCAGTTTCTCTTAAATTCAACTATATACATTCAGTACGTCATTTTAGTTTTTTTTTTTATAAAGAACCATCTTATTGTCTTGTGAAATATTATGTATGTTAATGCCCATGCAATCGAAGTGTTCTTGATGTTATAGATTGTTTTTGCACAACAGTAATTGAAAACAAAATATTGTTCAGAACAGTGCTAATGGGTTGAATTAATTTGCTTATACGATCAAATACTCTGCTCTCATGTCTTGATATTTAATCGTAACTACAATTGTAGGTGAACCTTTGAGAGCCGGATGTATAGTATTAAGATTAAGATATCCGCACATTATTGTTAGACAAACTGGAAGTACTTCTATACTATTCTGAAGTACGTGCTCTCTAATTAAAAGCTCTATTTTAAAAGCATCACATTTTGAAAAGTTATTGTTTTTCCCATAGTGGTAAACTTGAACCCTGTTTATTATTGTTTCCTAACATTCTTTACAGTTCGAAGTTCCCCATTCAGGACGTTGACGCTGATACATGTAAGCTCACATTGGCTCATAGTTCAACATAAGAATAAAGGCGTGTTAAGATATGAAGCACAAAACCTGAGCGGTTACAACGTGTAAATGAATTGCTTTTGCGACTTGCGAGCAAATAATAATAATAATAATAATAATAATAATAATATTGATAATGATAATAATAAAGAAATATATAAATTAAAAATACTACTACTACTACTACCTTATATTAGAACCACTACTCCTGCAACTAATATAATAATAGTATCAATATCTGGCATTAGTATTGCGCCTTCTATATATAGAATTTCTATTCTGAGGCGCACAAGGAGAAATAGATAAGAATAAAGCTATGGTCACAACCCCCATAAGTAGCCTGCTCGGCGGCTGGGTGGCGATTTTTTAGCCAATTTCGCCCGGACACGGAGCGGCGGCCGCCCGGGCACTGCTTGTTTTTAGGGCATCGCTCGGTCGCCGCTGAAGTTTTAGCGCGGAGTTAAAATTCGGCGGCGCCTGCTCACTTTTCACTCGACGCTGCAGAGCGGTCGCAGCCCGGTCGCCGCGCGATCGGCGCTTGGAGATCAGGCGGTCACAGGGCGAATCCAAAATCGGTCGGTAGCTTATGACCTAGCGGCTTCGATTTTTGACCTAAATCGCTCGACGGCGAATGCTCAACTAGGTCGGTGCAAGGGCAGCGACCGCCCGGGCACCGTATTTTGGTGCCCCGCCGATCACCGGCCGGCCGGCGGGGCAATTTCTTTAAAATCAGCCGGTGGCCGGTGGGAGACCGCTCGGGAAATCGGTGGGTCTTCCGTCGGTCACTGCCGGGACGCTGCCCGTAAAAGCAACCCGACTTCGTCCAGTTTTGACCGCCCAGGCTTCGCTGGTGCTTTACAGCCTGCCCGACTTCTTTAAAAATCGCTGGGCGATGCCTAAATTCCAGCGGCGAACGAGCAGGCTGCAAATCGGTCGGTCGCCGCTCTGAGTTGTTACCATAGCTTAAGTGTCTGAATAACAGAGGCCCTGCGCCTATACTGAGCTCTCTGTTTAAGATTTAGGAATGTGAAGTGTATTGCACTTTACATCATCACAAAAAGAAACCGCTGCAGTTTACCGCTAAATATCTGAATGAATTATGTAAAAAATATATGAGGCATTACCATCTTTGTTGTGATAGAAAGAAATTGATACGTTTTTAAGTGAATTTAAACGGTAACTAAAAATATAACTGCCCTGCGAAATTGCTACTTTTCATTAGATACCTAGATTTTTATGATTATGTAATTCTGTGTGGGTTAGTGCGTATGTGCGTGTGTGCGTGCGTGAGGCGTACAATCTAATATTTTAACAATGTTCTCTCTTCTCATCTTCATATTCAGCGATTCCTGGTACAACAACGGCAAGCTCTGGTACCACTTCTGCAACCACCTCCATCGTTGAAACCACTTATGCTACAACTCATGCATCTACCAGTGCTACCACTCTTGTCACTCCTACCATCCCTCCACAGCCTGATTCTTCTTACGCCATAGCGAGCTTCTACTACACCAAGGTTAACAATGGCGAACCTACAACATTGGTTTGTGTCGTGACAGGATCCCCTCCACCGACCTCTGAAAACATCAGTGTCACCCATTCAACCGGTGAAGATGAAGGGATTGTCCTTTTGGAGAGCACTGTCCATGAATCATCCAGGACATCCCAGTACCAGGTTAGGGTGAGTCTCGGTGAGGCACCTCTGAATTTCACTTGTCTTTTGCGCAGGCCGGACGGGGAAAGTGTCTCGAAAGATTTGGCTGTCTCTGTTTTTGGTAAGTAATTCTGAACTATAACAGCATACCTGTTTTTGCTATGATTTACTGAAAAGAGCCTAGCGTCCTGTGTAAACATTCATTGTTAATGCGAATGGAATTGACGATGCTTTGTACATCTTCATGTACGTCACAAACAATGAATACAAATAATAAACACAATTTGTCAGTTTTTTATATGCCTTTTCTGTCTTTAAAATGGTTTCCATGTGACAGGTGGCTATCTCATCAACTCAGCTCTCAAGTAACATAAGAAAAAGAGGATCACGGAGGACCAACGGTCACCGCTTAGGCATTGTTTTCTATATAGAGGGAGCAAGTTGCTACAAGTAGTACAGTGGGGCTTTAAATATGTAGTCTGTAGGATGGCTTCATACAAATGTTTTAAAACTCAATTTACGTTCTATCAGAACCTCCAAGTTTTGTTGAATCTAACATACTCGTCCAAGAGATGACATCTCACTCGGTCACGATACGATGGACACCTTGGAATGAGACTTGTGATCGTGGTGATGGGCAAGTGATTGGATATCGAGTCTACTACAACACACCCGGACAGGATGACATAGCTAGGGCTTCAAGAGATCTCATCAGAGATACAACTTTCACCATCGCTAATTTGACACGGGACACAGAGTATGATTTCAGAGTGACTGCTTCTAGAGAGGGGCCAGCGGGTGGAGGGAGGTACAGCTCATCAGAAAGAGCTAAGACAAAGTGTACTGGTAAGAGCAGGAGATTATTATCATAACAACTAATAATGGGTGGATCATCAACATCATTTTTAACGGCCGCAGTCGGGATGAAGTTCACTCTTTCACGTCACCCGCTCTTTTCAATCTAGACCTTATTAACGCTTTCTAACTTAAGATTGAGATTAAGGGAATTTATATCATTTAAAATTGTTGGTGGCTAAAGTAAGTTTAATGAATTTAATTTATCTGTTGTTATTATTTTTTAACCGTTATTGACAACAGAAGCACTTAACCAAGCGTGTACCTTACAGGTTCCGCACATTTTCATTCCTCGAACTGAAGATTTATTAATAATAGCAAATATAGTCGCGATATTATCATAATTAATGATAAATCTGATAAAAGTAAGAGTATAGTTTATTAAAAATAATGATTGCTTTTCTTCTCCTGACCATTAGGACCTAAACAGTGATCCTTTGACGTTCCAAAGACCTATATTACATTGCATTCTTTAAAAACTTATATTGCTAAATTTCCCGCTCTCACATGTGAGGCTGGTAAATATGGACTCACCGTAGTAAATTCACATTGAAGGAAAAATAATTGTAGACAGTATAATATTTATTGTTAGTTGTTTTAACCAGCAAGTTAATTACAACCAAAACAACTTAATTGTCTTTATTTTTGGTAATCCTTTTTTCAGCACCTTCTGAGGCGCCTGTTCTGTCTGTGAGAAATAGAAGTCAAACAACCATCACTTTGGATTGGGAGGTGAGCTGAAATGATTTCATTGCATTTTATTTTATTATTATTATCAACTATAAAGGAATACATTTCAGTTTAATTTACTTAAATTCAATAATTAAAATTTGCTTAATTGGAAAAAAGGGTTTAAATGTTCAATATGAGCGCTTATAAACGGACCCAAATACTTCAATTTAAAATACACAATTGTACACATTACTAAAAGTCCACTCGAAGTATCATTTCGTACGTTAATTAGTTTGGATAAAGGGTTTCGTATGTTTACTCCGTATTGAAAATGTTAGGTTTGATGGTGAATATGGCGAACTTAACATTTGCAAATTAGTAAAATGGGTGAATTCTTCCCGTTTGTCATATTTATATTGATAATAGGTAATACCAGAGGAATCATGGGGATGCAGTGCCCTTTCTGGATTAGAAATCAATGTTAGCACCGATGGACAAAATGGCTTTCCTCGAACCTTGTTATTCAATACTACGGCGGGTACTGCTAACATTGGACAGCTTGAGGATTGTTCTACGTATAACATCAACGCAGCATTTAGAAACAAAGACGAGTTGGGGATCTCTTCAGAAATATTGTCAGTGAGCACGTCTTGGATACGTAAGACTGAACATTTGTTTTCGTATATGTTTATTTGCGTTGCGTTGTATAATGATAACGCTTAGGCTGTAATAATACCTTATATTCGCTTATTCATTATGAAAAGTTAGTCTGTTTCCTTCTTTATCCTTGACAGATGAAAGAAAATTTACAAGAAATACTATATCACTACGCTAAAAGTAGTATAGAAATCTTTCAATCATTTTGTTACTTTTAAAAACACAGGTCTGTCATGCGAGGAAATTTAAGGAGTACATGGTAGTCAAATATGGTCTAAATGCCATCATTACTCGTACGTTTACCCATCTTCTATATTTTTCTTAACATCTTCTTTCAATTTGCAAATTGCAAGTTCCATTAACCTGTATATTTCAAATTTATTTCCAGGACCCGCTAGTGTAGGAGCCCTACAGATGTCATCTCCAAACCAGGTCGAAAATCCCATAGAGACCATTAGAAAAATTATATTGTTCTCTAATGGTTTCTGTTGGAGTCTATTGGTTTCTGTTGGACCCATAGAATTGAATCCCAAAGAGACCATTCAGACCATCAGAACCAATAGAAACCAATAGGACCAATACTCAATAGAAACCAATAGAAACCAATGAGACCAATTAAAACCAATTTAAACTATTAAGACAAATAAAACCCAATAGGACCAATAGAAACCAAAAGGACCAATAGAAACCAATAGGAACAATACAAAAAAGAAACTTATTAGACCAGTAGGACCAATAGACACCGATAAGACAATATAAACCAATTTAAACCAATGAGACAAATAGAACCAAATAGGACCAATAGAAACCAATAGGACTAATAGAAACCAAAACTAGGACAAATAGAAACCAATATGACCAATAGAAACCAAAAAATCTATGTATCTTCATGCATATTCATGATTACTTTACATGTTTTCACATTAAAAAATACATTTATCATGATTTGTTAAGCAAATTATGACAATGCAAATCAATTTTGTGATTTGTATTTTCCTACCACAATTATTGACCAATAGATTATTTGTCATGTTTTACATGTTACAATTACATTCACATTTTAGCAATAGATATATTGAATATAATGATTACTAACCAAGAAACAATATGCATGCTTATTATATATATGTGTACGAGCCTGTATCACTTAAAATGTTAATCTTGAATTCACTTCAAATGATCTATGTAATGGAGTTAATGCAATTGAGATTAGAGTATACCTAATTGGTGGACAATTGCCAACATCGATTATGAATTATCAGTTATCACTGGTTCTTCTACCCGGGTCAATTTACTAATAAAAGTCGTTGTGCTATAATAGAGAATATGGAATGTGGGACCATTAGAAACACATAGAAAAATCTGTAATGGACCAACAAGAACCCATGGAAAATATCTAATGGACCAACAGAAACCCATCATAGAAGAAATATCTAATGGACCAACAGAAACCCATAGAAGATGTGGGTGGATGTTGGTCCAATGGAAGCTTTCTTTTGGTCTATCAGCATTTTTCTGTGGGTGGGCGTGTTGGTCCAATAGATATTTTCTATTGGTTTCTGTGGGTCCAATATTTCACTTTCCCTATTGAAACCAATAAACACCAATAGCTCTAATGGTTTCTGATGGTCCAATAGGCTAGATCCTATTGGAATTTCGACCTGATAATCACACAAATTGAAGTAAGCTGGGAACCGTCATCTAGTCCATGCTCCGCTGACTACTATATCATACGCTACAGTCTCTATCAGAAGTTTGCCTGCCAATCACTAGAAACCACCCCAACAGAGTTTGAAGTCAACACCACCTCTACACAATACAATAATCTAGTGGGGTTGGAGCCTTACTCGCGATACAAGATCTCCGTTACAGCTGTGAATGGTGCCGGGCAGAGTGAACCCACGATCGGCTATTCAGATACTAGCCCAGGACGTGAGTAATGAACGAATAAGCAAAATATCCTTTTCCCATAACAGTTTCAAGAAATGTACAAGTTGATATATTTAGTTATCCGAGCTGAATTGTATATATTGGATATTTCTTACGGAACCAAAGTTGTGATTTGTCCAAAGCTTGTCACGTGATATCGATCGCGAAAATTGTAATCAACATATTTCACCTCCGGTCAGGGGCGGATCTAGCTTTTTGCAAATGGGGGGGGGGGGGGGGGGGTTGACCCAATGATTATGAGAAGCATCGTCCACTACACGCAGAGGGGGTAACCCCCTTTACCCCCCCCCCCCTCCCCCGCAGATCCGCCCCTGCCGGTCAGCAAGGAAGTATATTCCCTCGTTATATCACATTTCTCCATCAGCGCTGTGCGCTTTGTGAACATATATAATGATGATTATATTTGCTTATATAGCGCCTAACACTTACTTTATCAGCGCTCTACAATAATGCAGAATAATTACACTGGCATTAGCAACGCAGCTGTCACACGCTCTGCGTTTCAAGGAATAAATTCCTACCAGGTCCCCATTTACTTCACCTGGGTGGAGTGCAGCAGTGTGGATGAATTTCTCGCTGAAGGAAATAAACGTTCACGGATTCGAACTCAAGCACGACCTTATGATTGAAAGACCACAGTCAGAACCACTACACCATGACGCTTCCCCTGAGGAAAATATAACTCGGTAGTCCAAAATCATTATATTTCACACCCTACTAGTCAATATCTGTATTAGATTGCCTGCATATAACATACGCATTGATATAAAAATATAATTTTCAAGAATTTTGCTTTGTTGAGATAATGAATGGTGCAGTTAAGTTGCCATGTATATTCCCTTCACCCTTCACGCTAGCCTTACTACGTAAGCGAATAACACGTCAAGTTTGAACCGATTAAGTACCGACATTCTCTTATATTTCTGCTTCACTTTAGCACCGTCCAACATTACAAATGTAAGGGTTAATCCAGAGAGGACGTCTCCAACACGATTAGGATTCACCTGGCAACCTCTTAACTGTAGAAATGTGAATGGAGTGTTCTGGTACTACTATCCAAGAATCTACAAGGATGGTGATAGATTTTATAACATGGCTGGTGGGACGTACTTGGATGATGACTTTTCATACTCATCAGTAGAGTTCAATGGTCTTGAGGCATGCACGATGTATGAACTGTATATCCATGCCGCCAACCGTGCCTATGGTTATCGGTCAACTCCTGGAAATCTGTCTCATGCTATCGGTGTAACAGGAGTAACTTGTAAGTGTACACAAACGTACCAAGCAATTACATTTTTAGAATCACCTTCGGGATGTCACATTGCCCTATTTTCTAGGAATTGTCTAAAAGAATAGTGATAGTAAGGGGCGGAGGCGTGGATTCTTAACTAAATAAGTAAGTCTCTTTGTATTCAATATTTAGATACATCATGCATTATAATTGTATTAATGATTATTATAATTAACCTTGGTTCATGTATGGACCAGGTATTGATGATAGAGCTAAGAGTTTATCATAAAAGGAAAAAAGGTACAGGTACAAAAAATTAGAAAATAAAAAACAAATAAATCTATTTCTTGTATCACGGTTTGTCCACCTCATTATGATGCTAAAGATGATCCAATATACATAACCCATCTTCAGACAGGCCTCCAATTCCTATGCTCACTGCAATGAAGGAAATCCTGTTTGTTGGATGAAACTTATTTGATTCCTTAACTCTTAAACAGAAATAGGTAAAACATGCTCACTGTTTACACAGGCTGAAATATATTAGAGCTTCATCTTTGGCACAGAGAAAATTAAGCTCGGAAGTCCATGAAAATGTATTACGATGGAGTCGCACGACTTACAGGCGGTTCTCTGTCTTATGGCTAACGGTTTGTGTAATGTAAGCCTTCTAGAATACAAACGCCTCTCCTGAAAATCGAATGTACACTATTTCGAAAGATAACAAATTTACATTTTCTCTCTATTTGTATTGAATAAAGTCACAAGTGTATCCGCTTATGCAACTGAGGATCAACCCGGTCTGAGAGTTTACTGGCGTGTTCCGTCTCAATGCAATGTTGAATACTACAGATTATCATATCAACTCATCTCACGTAAGGCATGTCAAGATGTTCCTGTAATAGATGCTCAAGTCTACGAACTCAACGTCACATCAAGTACCACATATGTCTCCGAATACCTTTCAGACTTGGAATATTATGCCACTTATAACATCTCCATCATAGCTGTGATAAGGAGAGCAGAGAGTCTACCTATGATTGTTAGTGGAGAGACACGAGATGGAGGTATGTAAACAATTATGTTAATACTAGAGCGTTGGCGTATCTATGAGGAGGGAGGGGCACTTGCTCCGGGTGGCACTTGAAGGGACCGCAAAACACGCAAAAGAGAAAGAGAAAGGGTATAAAGAGAAGATAAATATCATTATAATATGAAGTCTAATTTTGCATAAAATATTTTTAGTATTAAGGTTTCAAATGCAAAAGTTTCTAAAGCTTGGTCGCCTTGCTCGTCGCGTATGTTCCTTCAGGTCCCGAAATTTCGCGCTCCAGTATAAGAATTTTATAAGTTTTTCTACAGTATTCTCTCAAGGGTTCAAGATTTATTGTAATGCAAATGATCATCAGCCTTGTTTAAATATAAGACAAAGGGCAAATGCAAAACCATTTAAAGTGATTTGTAATTGTTAAACATTTGAAAGAAATATTGTCACTTTCCGTAATGATTAATTAATTTTTTTTGATCTGGTTTAATTAATTACATCAGAATTCCTGTTTTCTATTTCTGCTTTAGATTTATATCTACTTACATTTGTGATGTTGTTAATTGACTATTCAACACTGTGATTTTCTTCACAGACCCCTCTGCCATCGAGTCAGTGTCGTACACCTCTACTGCCAGCTCCTTGCGCTTTGTGTGGGAGGAACTCTCTTGTGAAAGCCTACATGGTGCTTTGTATGGCTATGAATACGATCTCTATGATCCTACTGGTGGTGGGAGAACTGTCCGGAATACATCGATCACACGAAGAAACGATTTTCAAATAACTGGTCTTGATGCTTGCACAGAATATCGCTTCAGAATAAGAGTAGTTACTACCCAGCTGAAAAGGAGTGAATGGCACATGGAAATGGCAATGACTAATATATCAGGTTTGCGAAATGTCCTACCGTACATGTGTATTGCTTATAAAGACATAAATTGTGCAATTACTCCTTTGTACACATGCGTTGGCACTGTGTGCGATTAAAGAAGAATTGATTTTAAGGGAAAGCATGGGAAACTGCATGGTTCAATTTCCAATTCGAATCTGCTTTCATACAGTCCATCTCTTGACGTTGCTCCAAGATAAGTAGATAGCTGTTACTGCTAGCCTAGTAATGGTTCATGGATAATGATAATCTAAAATAAATCGGAAAAAATAAAGCAATTGAAGTCAATACATATTCTAAAGATAGAGATTAGATTTAGTGTAATCACAGTGTAATCAATTAATTATAGTCAATTCATAATTGGGAACCTGAATTGGCCCGAATGAAATGTTTATTCCTTCCTTTCTGTACACTTTTCAGCTCCTGGGATGCCAGTTATTACAGAGCTTACCCCGCATCAGGAAGACAGTGGCACTACTGGTCTAACAGTATCATGGCAACCTCCTTCCTCACCTCCATGCCAGCCTACGCATTATGAAATCAAATACTATGATCTTCAAGGCGATATGTGTGAGGATAACTCGAGGGATCGGATAATGACTTCAGCAGGGACCGTCAATGGTTCAACGTTTACCTTCAATGTCCTGGAGTTGCGTCCTAACTCTGAGTACATGGTGTTCGTGAGAGGCAGAACCAGTAGCGGTTATGGTGATGCGGATTCCGAAGTAGCTACTACAGGATATTCACGTTAGTATTGTGTGTGTGTGTGTGTGTGTGTGTGTGGACGGGCGGGGGTGTGTGTTTATGATGTGAGTAAGAGAGTGTGTGTGGGTGCGCGCGTGTCCCTCTGAATCAGCTGCAGGAGAAAACAGAGAGCTGACAATACGGCTAGACCAATTTACAGCTCATGATCTACTTTATACGACGCTAGACTTAAGTCAGTTCTTTATTTGACTAATTTGAATACAAGGGAACCATAATTCTAGCTGGTAGTTGAACGAATATACTTTGAATTGCAAAATATCATTGGAGAATAAGCTGGTCTGGAAGTTCAGTTTAGAAAAGGTATACTACAGGGGGTTAGAGAATGTTTACGAAGACAAAATGTAGTTTAGCTGATAGTATGGAAATGTAGATGGAGTACAAATTGAAGAATAAGAAAAATGAATGAGAATGAGTTTTCCTCCTCTATTTTACAGATCCTACTGGTCCTCCAATCAACATTCAGTCCACTTCCATCAAGAAACGCAGTATTGTCTTCACTTGGGAGAAACCAGAATGTGGTTCTCGGAATGGACCAATCTCAAGCTACGAAGTTATGCTCTCCAATTCTACAGGTAACCTAAATATGAAATAGAATATGAATACCTGGTCGTGTGCTAAATAGGGTGGAATCCCAGAGATTGCTTGTTTGAAAGTAAAGTTTAAATTTTAAAAATCTATCTAGAAGGGTATCTGTCCTAGGCATCATCCCTGGTAGTGCTTCTACAATTCATTAAATACATATAAATTGTACTCATTTCGTGTGTTAGAATGATAAAGGATAATTTCATCTATAAAATATCAAGGTAAAACCTTGACAGCATGGATCTCCTAGCTGAATTGCTTTCTGTTGCTGAATGAAAATATGTTCTAGTGTCATATTTCTTTGCAAAAACTGACCTGCATTTTTTTCTCTGGTAGATGAAATTGATAGATTCGACGAATAACACTGGATAACACCGAATAGATAAATATTTTTGTTTATTCTAAGCGCCAACCAATGTAGTTTTTTTTGCAATTATTTTTGGAAATAATAATAATAATAATGATACTAATTTCATTTAACGCACAGGTGGTATTGTCTAACTCGGTATAATCATTCAACATGAATTTTTGTGTGGATACCTTTAGGATATTCTGAACGCAGAATCTCGATTAATGATGAATTATGGTTAGTACTGAAGAACTGCTGTAAGCTAGAGGGTGTATTTGGCAGCGATGTGCGGATAAAAATAGTTAGACAAAAATTTACTTAGGTTCAAACATTGATCAAGTGATCACGAACGGCGAAGGCATATAAGATGTAGTATTTGATATGGTCTTGCTTCATGATGATTCTTTTAATTTAGTCCATTAATCAAACATGTATAAAAATCTGCGCAACATTTTAAATCAATTTATGGTTTGCATTGTTCTATTCCAGGGACCTCATTTCAAGATTTCCTTAAAAAAACAATCAGTCTAGCTATGTTTCCGATGTACTAGCTTTATACTCCAGATTAAAAATTACGCATGATGTTTTGTGCAGATGTTGTATTCTAAAAGATAAGTCTCCGGACTGTAGACCACAAGGTACGGGGTTCAAAGCCCAACACGACACTAATGTAATTTAGCAAGACGTTACATTTCTACGCCTCTCTCTACTCAATTATAAATGTGTACCTGATATGCATGAATAGTAACTTTGGCGGCTGCGCATGGTAATAATGTTTAAGGGACATGAGCGTCCCTGTGTGATGCATATGAACACTTTAAGAGAAGCCATTATTATTATTCCTGTTGTTCATTTTCAGGACACGTGGTTTATCATGGTAATGTGTCAGGACCTGAGCATGAGATACTTGACCTCATCCCCTATTCGAATTACAGCATTAGAATCAGAGCTTGGAACTATGAACTAGCAGGGGAGTATGGTCCCGCGATTTGGGCACAGACAGGTGAAGCAAGTAGGTCTCACAATGCATGTCTATCAATTTTATTTTGATAACGATGAAGGAAAAAAAAGCGTTAAAGACGAAAATTAAATCTTGTTCAAAATATAGCTGTTCGGTATCAATGTCGACCGTGTATCTATAGAACCAGAAATACAACTCTGAGAAAAATCATGTTGTACTAAATTTTTTGAACATTTAAACTTGATCATCTACAGGAAACTAATGTTATGAGAACATGTACTTGTACAATTAGGTTTTTGTTGTTACATTATTCACCCTTTTTTCATCCCCTTCCCAAACGAAAAAAAGAGCATAGAGAATGTTTTCCTTTAAAATAAATGGATCCCTAATTAAGTATTTATTTCCTGTTATAAAATAAGACGTAATAGAGTAATCTTGAATTCTAGATTTCTTGCACCCAAAATCCTTAATGACAGCTGTCCAGGCTGGGTTAGTGTCTCTGAGTGTGCGTGTATGAAATGTGCGAGTACAATAAGATAATATTATTACTTTAAAATATTTTGCTTCTTTCGAAGTCACAGTTAATGTAATAATCATCTAAATTGTTAACATTGCTTGTTGAAATCTACCTTCCGCCAACCTAGGTTCACTATGAGGATTTTTTTAATTGATACTAACAGACAGAAAACGAAACATGATATTCTTTTATATTACTTCCGATGTGTTATAGACCATTAAGTTGTTTCGACAATAACTATCCTACGAATTTTCTCCATGATGTGTACATTACAGAGCCAGCGCCACCAATCGGAGTAAATCTGCCATCTTCCGACCAGGAGAGTATCACAGTAGAATGGATGTCACCGAACCCTCCTCTGGGCAGGATAATAGGTTACTACATTCTCTACTGGGAAACGGGTGATAATAGTTCCACGCCCAGAAACGTCAGCATCCCGTGTCGGGACGGTCTTTGCTCTGACATTAACTACAGGCTTTCCGCATATATTCCTGATCTCCGGCCCGACACGAATTATACCGTTCAGGCAAGTGTGCTTCCTGAAGGCGTTTTCTAAAGGGATTCTGTATATTGAAAATGGGATGTAAAAAAACTTTTTCATAAATATTGTGATAACGGACCTATGGTTTAAATTAGTATCCATCCGTAAAAATAGTTTCTGTCGACAATGTCTGCAGAGATGGCATCTTCAATCTTGCGTCTAGCTAAGATAACTAAAAGATGTAAGGTTTCACGATATGTTTGTTGTAAGACAGCTCATTATAGAACTTAAGGGATGACATTCAATAGATGATGTGGGACCAAACCAGGAGAAGCAATCTGTAAGTTTCCTGATTTTTCTAATGAAATATATATATATATATATATATATATATGAGTATGGTGCAGAATTTCTTTTACACCATCTTTGTATCTTTAGAAAACTACATGGGGTATGGACTATGTTGCGTGTTAACTAGTACTCCCACATAATTCCCTTTTTTAATTAAACTACTAAAAAGCAGTATCCCTCCAGACAAGAAAACACTTAATAAATGATCACATCCAGACAAATTGCTTATGGTTAAAAACTGGTTCTATATTCTATAATTTCACATAAGAAACAATGATTACAGAATTATCAGAAACCTCTTCTGTCTATCTCAACAGTGACAGACAATTAAACTATCACTAGGCCCTTGGTAGTTACTATTAATAATCAAACATAGATAACTTCCAACAGCACATTAATGTAAAGGAGACTCAACTTAGTCACTATGGTATTAATGATTACCGCTTAATACAAGTCTCGAAATATCAGAAGTCCTGTTCAGTACAACTTAAGACGGTACTAAAACAAGTCAGTTAAATATCATTCACACTGCATGAATAATAACAGTCAAGAAAATACTACTCAAATCTAAGCTAGACAGCGTTTAGATTTCCTTACATAGGCACGAATATTGTGGTTCAAGAAACCACTAAACAAATCTCTACTTGTGTATGTGTACGGAATGCACAACACGAGAATACAACAATATATCGGTGGATCTAGACTATAGCAGATCTAGATCAGTAGACCAGGTATAGGCCTAGAACTAGTGCAATTATAAACATGTAAAATATGTGTTAGTAAGCGTACGCACTCAACAACAGGCACTCAGTCAGTCAAAATAAGGCATCACAATGATAAACAATGCAAAGCATAAATCACAATATAATTAACGTTACGTGAGTCATTGGAGTTGAATTCAGAGTAGATCTTCTTCAAGTTCTAGATAGATGTAGAAACTAGCTAGTCGAAAACAGTGGTCGATGAGCTGGTTGTCGATCGCGTACGATATGCAGACGATGATCGACGCTCGGTGAATACCACGATGATGAAGACGATGTTGAAGACAACGATGATGACAACAATGATGAAGACGACGCTGGTGAAGACAGCGATGATGAAGTCGACGATGAAGACGACGCTGGTGAAGACAGCGATGATGAAGTCGACGATGATGAAGACAACGGTGATGAAGACGATGATGAATCAGTATAACCAGATGAATACAATGATGATGCAGTCAATGTCAATAGATCAACTTCAGTGACTTGCGATGCAGGTCGAAGAATCAAATGTCGAGACAATATATATCATATGAAGTCGATGATAAAAGGTTGTCAAACAATAATGCAGGTGAGAAAAACGTTAGATCATATTAAATGTTCTATTCTCACTGCTGGTGAATTAAAGTGTCGTCAATGCTGAACATCGAGAGAGTCAAAATATATCTTGCAAAACGTACAAAATGTAAATAGGTGAGCACGTCCACCGGGAATGGTCCGGGGACGTAGCAGTTCAATCCTCGTTGGATACAATTTTCTAGGTACAATAATCGACACAATAGCAGCATGTGTTGTTACCAATATTAAAACAGCTCACTGATTCCCGCACAGGAAAATCAGAAGAGCGCCAATCAACTACAGCGCGATTGGTTGAAAACAAGCGCACATGTATGTTAATTAAACACGTGATCTAAATACTTATGAATAAATACGCGTACATCTATGTTAATTGGTCATGTGATCAAAATACTAATGAATAAACATCGTGCAGTAATAAATCGAGCTAAAACCAGTTCTGAGGACATGGCGTAATACCAAATCCTCGAACTCTCAATGACTTCTAAAGCGGCCATTTTGGATTAAAAACACAATATGTATACCAGTGAATTATAAATGAATGCACTGTAACATTTGTCGCTACATATCTATATATTCTTTCTGATGAAATGCTTTTATAATAAACAATTCATGCTAAATGGAAACAGTGTCAGGAGGTCCATAACGTTTCCGTCCATCCATTCAAGGTCAATCTCTAAATTGTCCTTAAATTGTTTTACTCTGCATAAGTACTTCTCCGCTCTTCATCTCCCTTTAATATCACAATGTTTTTCTTTCAACTATACAGGTCATGGCGGAGACCATTCATGGTGTTGGTGACTCAAGCCCGGTCCCACCCGTTGTCAGGATTACATCAGAAGGAAGTACGATATTTATCTTTTCATTTCTATAATGTCCCATGTATATAGATCATTCTGGACATATTATCACCCCCTCCCCCATTTCAGAAAAGGGAAATAAAGAAAGAACGTGGAAACAAAAGCTCTAAAAATGACCTGTTCATAGAACACGATCGCAGAGACTTTCAAGAAATCAACTCAAGGACAATTTCAATACCGTATTGTATTAGTATTAGCTATGTAGAATTCATCTTTAGATTACGTAAGAACGCCATTGAAGTGTTCGGAAGGATAATATTCGGTTGAGTATATGTTCAGGAATATTAGGCTTATTGCACAATAAATATCACTTTAGACAACATATCAATTCCTTCGCGCTCCTTTTGGGAGATCAACCGACCCGCGCGCATTTTATATTACATGACATATGGTAAAATTCTCGACATCTTTTTACACTTTTCTTTACCATTAAAAATCGAAATTGAGAATAATATCCTCAATCGAGATATGAGAAGAAGGAAACATTTCCTTTACATTCCATGTAAAACCATGCCCTTACTTGAAAAAAAACCTCCGTCACTTTGACGTTGAACTTTACAATCCATTTAAAAAAAATTACTCTCTCATACACAATGTCAATGGATCGGTCGTACTGTGCTCGATTGCCTTTCAATAAACCAATCTTTAACTTTGCAGCAACGCGTTTTGCGTCAAATTTGTAAATCCTCAATCACAGACAATGACATATGATACGTAAGCTTTTCATACATATAAATTTCATTTTGATTGATTCATTTTTAGCTCCGTCATTTTTCATGTTAAATCATGCTTCATGTCCCATTTTAGAAGCCCGACCCAGGGTTTTGTGCCAGCTAGCCGTATGCATGTACGTAATGCTATGCATACACATATAACTGAACATGCATAAGTACAGTACATGTACACACGCAGCGCAGCGCGTACGAGCGCACTGCACTACATTTGATTGGGTCAGTACCATTATGAAAATAGGGTAACAATGAGTGGGATGGGTTTAGTGCCGTCACAATAAACTTGCGCATTACACGCGTACGTATAATTAGAGCAATTTATGCACCCCCAAGAAATAATGAATACAGCCCGACCTCTCTACACACAGAACTGCACAGATACCGCACAGTCCGGTCAAGGCGGTACGCGTAGCGTTAAACTGCCAAATTTACAGAAATTGTGAGGAGCGCTTTTGCTATGAAAGGAATTGATATGACAGTTTTAGTTGAGTAAGAGAGGGAATAATTACACAGATGACACAGATGTAGACATAAATTTGGAGAACCGTATTGAAAATCCTTCAGCCAGATCTTAGACTTAATAATTCATAATAATATGGTTATTTATATAGCGCCGGTATCAGTCAGGTTTTGACGCTCATAGCGCTTTACACATATTACCCTGGTCGTAGCCGAGCTAGCAAAGTAACTAGCGCGCAAGCCTATCAGGTACCCATTTACACCTGGGTGGAGAGTGGCAAATGTAGATCAATGTCTTGCCAAAGGACATTAGTGCTGCGGCGGGACTTGAACCCCGTACCTTGTGATCTGCATTCGGGTGACTTATCCACAACACCTCTACAATTTAACCTTCAATTTAAATACAACGAATCTACAGTAGATGTTAAAACACTTAAATTCTCTGCACAAATACAACGCAAACCAATGCATAGAGAAAAAAAGTAGTTAACTGTATGATCGTTTTGTTTTAGGTTCGAAATCTAAATGATACAATCGTACACAAATATTGACTTGTATTGCACTTGTTTGTATTGATCTTATTTCCTGCTTTACAGTTCCTAGTGAGCCTCAGGCGTTGACTGTTTCCAGCAGATCAAAATCTTTACTGATCACCTGGAAGGAGCCGAGGTACTCCCGTGGAAAAATCATCTCCCATACGGTAACTTCAATACTTAATTTCAAGGAAAGTTCTCGTAATGCTTTAAGTGTTCTTTTATATACAATGTAATTTTCATAATAATATCTATAATGTTCTTTCGGTAACTGTGTTAATTTATTATGGGCGTTCCCAACTCAAGCTATGCTTTCCGGGTTTTCGCCTCCTTTCGTATCTGAATTATTTACTGTATAAATAATTGTTACATATATCATGTATATATACATTGTGTTTTATATTGTGCTGTTGAGAAGGAAATAAATGTTAATAAATACAATACAATACAAAAGTGTATCCGAACTGTAATCCTTTTTCTAACCTTCTCTTTGGAGTTCTCTTCTATATCAGGTAATATTTTTTTCTAAGTTGAGGTTTCCAGTATCTTCGGTTAGACTAGGTGACTAGGTTTCATCTGAGTACTTGAATAGGACTGATATTTTGATATACAAATATAGTTAATCCATTTTATGAAAAAGAAACGCATTTTTTAAATAAATTTATTTCTGAATCATTTCGGAATCACTAAATCATAATTTATGCTGAAGTATAGGTACAGTTGTGGAGTTTGTTCAACCAAGATTTGTTTCGATGAGTCAAATAAACTTCACAGTGCAGGTTAGCAGTTTGATATTCAAGTCTAATTAATAAAGAATCGTTTGAACGCCCCTCCCCCCCCCCCAAAAAAAAAAAAAAAAAAAAAAAAATGTATGCAGATGCATTTTACCGATCTTTTAAAAATGAACGGACAAAGACTTTTTCAGTTGTTTCCGGGTCAAATTGCAAATATCCACAAGGTGACCTTAATACACATCAGTAGACGATGGTATTATCCACAATTGCGTTATCTCTTTCTCTCTCTCTCTCTCTCTCTCTAACCTTTCTCTCTCTCTCTCTTTCTCTCTCTCTCTCTAGCTGGCCTATAAAGTAAAAGGAAAGCCATAC